ATGCTTGGCAGGCCAGATGGCCTGCAGGCCGTATTTTGCTCACCTCTTGATTAAGAACATTGGTTGAGTTGAATAGAGTAGTTAACACCTTGCAGTGCTGTTATGAGCTGCATTCATATCTGTGGGATGGTCTTCCAGCTCAGAATAGAATAGGCTGTTTCACACCTCTGAGAAAGAGACTGTTGATTCAGTGGGTCAGGTGTTTGGCTTGAAAAACATGACCAAAACAGTGGTTGAAGAGCCCACGTAGGTAGAGGGATATAGTGGGGCTGTCTAACAGACTGTTTAGATTACATAATCCAGGCTGCTACCTGCAATGAATGTACTTGGCAGCTGAGGGCACCAGAAGCAAGGATCGCTTATGTACAAATACCTTCTAAAAGGCTAATTTTTTTCTACTGTTCTGTTTTAAAATGTCAGTAGCTTCTAAAACACTAATACGTTGGGATTGCTTGTGATGGGATGGAGAGCATGATCTGGGAATGGCGCAGGGACAGTGGAAGGGAGTAGAGGAGAGAGACATGTGCCTGCACTTGTAACCATCATGGAACTAAATTATTAGGGCTGGGGGACCTAGACCATGTCTCACCAGCCTTATTAAAAGCTGCACACTCCTGACCTTTTCAAAGTGTGACCATAGCCTCCATTCCATACCAAAGGGTACAGGGTGAGAGGAGGATATCTTAAAGTCCTTTACCTAACAGCTCTAGCATCTTAGCTTCAAATCTACCTAAAAGCTGCTTTAAAGCTCACTGATTCCTACAAATTACATTTCTCTTTCCATTTAGAAAACCAAGAAAATTCACTGATAAAACTTCACTAACGCAGAAGCTTTCAGGTTATCCAGCAGCATCTCATGGACTTCCAGAACATTGAATTCAGGATGAGCAGCACTACAGTGCTATCCCACCCAATATGAACTTTGATTTCTTTGTGCATGAATGCCTGTAATATGCAGGTTTTGAATTTTACTGAACAGGAACTACGTATCCCTACCCTGCAACTAACTACTTACCCAGTCCACGGTTAGCCAGTCCACAGAGACCATCATGTCTGCTAAAACTGATACCCCCTTCACTACCTTTCATGTTTCCATTGTTTTACAGCACATGATTCTATCTAGGACAGTCACTGTATGCATCATTAAACACATTGATCACAGTATTTTTCAGACAACTTCTGACAGCCCATTTGGCAAGAAGCCTGTTTGCTCAACAGTAGTGAGCCAAACTTGGGTTTGAGTCAGGTCAGCTGATATAGATCTCCAGAGAAAAAGCAGCATTTTGTAAGCAACTTTCCTTTGAAGCAACAACCTGAGCGTATATAAGGACTTCATTGCTTTTTGTCTTTCTTTGTGTGTCAAGGAAACATGAGGTGTGTGATTTATCCCTCAAAACCAATAATGCAGTGATGAAATGAAGTATACTGTGGGTCTGTTATGACACAAAAAGCAGAGGCACGCAACCCTCCCTTGTATGATGTTCCCACATCAGCTGCAGCTCTGACAAGCTGCTTCAACTCTTGCTACCATTCAGTATGGCTGGGCAACACTGAACACAGCTGGAGTCCTTGCAGAAGGCTCCATTTAGCTATTGCCAGCTCTAAGCCATAGATTTAAAGTGTGTGTGCGTGTGCACACGTACACGCACAGGTGTGTGCTTATATGTACATGCTATTGTAACTGTTACCTATATTACTGTCACCTATAGCTTCTGTAGTTTTGAAATCAACTTTACAGTTTTACTTCTTCCTAGAAATATAGTAACTTGGCTTTGTGATGACGTGACTTTTTAAAAACAATATATATGTATATGTGTGTGTGTATATATGTGTGTATGTGTGTGTCTATATGTATGTATATGTGTAACTGAGCTGTACCTTTATTTGAGATGGCAATGTGATGGTGCAAAAAGACTTAATTGTGTTTTGTCTTTCTCCATGTATCGTGACTGCATGTGATTACCCAGCAAGGCCAATAATTTTTCTTCATCATTTCTGAACAGAAATCCCACTTGCATGTAAATTCACAAAATTTCCAGACATTTCACAAGGACACAAGAGTCGGTTTATACAATTAATACAATTATAAGTGATTGAAAGCGATTAAATCTGTGATTAACAATGCCTAACTCTATTAAATACATCAGGAGAGGAAATGTACACTTACTGTACAGGTGCTTAAGTAAAACTGACTTTACCTTTTTGAGTTGTTTACCAGGAGTAAACAATGGCTTTTTGTTTGAGAGTGCCATCAGGAAAGTATCTTGTATTAAAAGCTATCTAGTCCTCTTTACCTTTTGTCATTTGATTCTCTCGTGTGAGAACCTCACTAGCTTTCCATCCATAGTGATTTAGGAAGCAGCGTGGGTAGATAATCATGCTTGTGTTTGTTCCTGTAATACTTTTGAGTTCTGATCATAGCTCTGCCTTGGGCAAGTTAGCTAGTTTCTCTGTGTTTTTAGCTTCTCCAATTACAAAATAGAGATGGTTCTTGTTTGCCTCTCAGGCTTCTTGTGCACTAATTTAATATCTTAAAATGCAAAGCTACACATATGGTGGTAATATACCATTTTGTAATAGCCGTTCAGCACTCCACACCATCCTTTTCTGAAAGATTATTGTGTGTCTCAGTTGGTTAAATTATGTAACCTCATCCTCTGTGTAGCAGTGTTGTCTTACTGATGAAGATACTAAAACACAACAGTGCGCTAACATAAGCCTTTTTGTCTCCTAGGTATTGTAGAAGACTATAAACCACCATTCTATGATTTGGTTCCTAATGACCCAAGTTTTGAAGATATGAGAAAAGTGGTCTGTGTAGATCAGCAAAGGCCAAACATTCCCAACAGATGGTTCTCAGACCCAGTAAGTGTGCAAGTCCAAGTTCATGTCTTGAAACATCAGATTATCTCCTCCTCTGTTCTTCTGACATAGGCTGTTTTAGAGCTCCTTTATTTCTTTTTCTTCACCAGAATCTATTTAGTAGTGTCCTCAAAAATCTCAATTTTTTTCTCTGTTTCTGAAGTGGTAGAATTTATGGTTAAATCTATGTAGTGTAGGTGAGGGAATGGAGCATGTGGGCATTATTAGTCCAGGACCTACAAAATATTATAGTTGTATAGTCCTTGGCTGTGCTGCCACTGAAGACAGTTATTTCCTGGTAATGCAAAGCTGCACTGGGTATTGAACTTAGAAGCAGAAAAGTACCTGTATTAGTTACTGGATTTCTACATTGATTTTACAGAAAAAGTTAAGCTGAAAATAAATACAAGTATTTTGTTAGTAAAACTGTATTCTTGAACGTTTAAAACTATCTGAGTTTGACATCATCTCTTGTTTTCATCTGGTCAGTGCATCCTCTGGACCCCATCTTCCTAAAATACTGGATAGTTTCTACGTATCCAATACTTCACACATCTGTAGAGTTTTTTGTGTTTAAGAGGACCAGATTTTTTTTTTTTTAGGTGGCAATGAAACTGCACTGTAGATTCTCAGTCTTGGAGTATTAATCAGGCAGTAAGTAAAGTCTCTGAAGGTTGTTGGTTTGTGATTTGTGACTTTTTGTTTTTATTCTCTTTCCAGACATTAACATCCCTTGCCAAACTGATGAAAGAATGCTGGTATCAAAACCCATCAGCAAGACTAACAGCCCTGCGAATCAAAAAGACTTTGACCAAAATTGATAATTCCTTAGATAAGCTGAAAGCTGACTGTTGACACTTTTTTTTTTCATGGAGCAATCCTGATGGAAGGCTTTTGTCTGGCTCAGAAGTATTCTGGCCTGACAAGTTTTAGAATGGGTCCCAAATGGCTTCTTTATAGTGGCAGAAGTTCTTACCTAGTCATCTGTTTGGGAGGCAGTGGAACCATAAGAACTTTTGTTCATTGACTTTAATGGGCATTTCACGAATGGTCAAGCTACACAGACTCATGGTGGAAGTACTGTTTCAAAGGTAGTGGCCTGAAGGAAGACAGAGAAATTCTAAGACAAGATCAGGGCATTAAACAATGGTTTTAATAGACTTTTTTGTTTGTTTTTATTCTTTGTTTTTTATGTCTCCTAGTCACTCCCAGGGTAAACACATGGAAGTGGTAAATTTTAATCAGCAATATTGCCTGTGCTTCTCTTCTTTATTGCACTAGGAATTCTTTGCATTCCTTACTTGCACTGTCACTGTTAATTTTAAAGATACGACTTGCCAAAAATATGATTGGTTATGTACTCCATTGATCTATGCCTGAAATATAGGAAATCAATTTGGCAAACTGAAAAGGTAACTGTCAGATTTTTTTTAGCTGCATTTTACATGTGTACTGAAGTTTACAGTAATGCTGAACATTAGGAAATTCTTGTTTATAAAAAAACTTGCAAATTATTTATTACTAGTGCACTTGTCAGTTTTTAAAAAAGCTGAAATAAGTGTATAAAGTTAAAGCTTATTTTTATGTGGCCTCTTTCATGATTTCTTACACAAATCTTTTTTGTAACACAATATAACCTGGCACAGAAATTTGTTTTCTGTATCATCATATTACAACTTGATAGTCACATTTTAAGTGCTTCACATTTGTAGGTGTGTGGTCTGTAACAAATATTTTCAGTTCAAATGGAGAACATATATAGCCATTACCCACATGACACTGCATCTAGTATCCTACTGATCTAGAAATGAAAGCAATGGAAGACGTCAGTAGAGTTTTAGGTCACGAATGCCATGGGGAAAATGCATTTTTCTTCTAAGCTATATAATGTGCATTTAAACTCTGCCAGAAAAAATAACTATTTTGTTTTAATCTACTTTTTCTATTTAGTAGTTATTTGTATGAATTAAATAGAATGTTTTCAAGCCAAACAAACAAGTGTGTTAGTTCTCTTACTGTCTATTAATAACAGAACAATGTACTGATTATAGTAGTGTGTGGTATCTTTCAGTTGTATTTTGCAAGCTAGCTACAGGAGTTGTCTACATCCATACTCAGATGGAACCTCAGTGCTAAGGCATATATATTATTGATTATTCATTTAGGTGGCATTCTTTGCTTTGAGGTAATACTGAACCAATACCCCAGAATAATATTGGAGGGAACTGGTACACTTTTTGGAGGAGCTATAAAACTGACCCAAGGTGGTTGTCATCATCATCATCTTGTGTCTCTACACTACATTTGACTATTTCATTATACATGCTTGTGCTCATTTATTGTATTTTGCAAAATCTTTCATTGCACGTGTGCCATCAAACAGCAGGCATTGCAGCAGGTGTGTTGCATAGTTTGAGGCTCTGTGTTGCAGTCACAAGTGGTTAAACAATAGTTACATGTGGGCAGTACACTCTAGTGGTGCATTTTTCAAAAGTAGGAGTTTTTTAACCGTGCTTCTCTAGTAAAATCTGTTTTCACCCATTACGTACATTTTCTCTGCCTTCACTTAACTGTGTCCTCATGTTGTTTGTAGGACAAAATAGAAACATGCAAAAGAAAATGACAGTATTTTTTTCATGTGTGTGGAAGAACTCTTGTTTGTTAACCCCAAACATTCAAGGCTACTTAAGAGAGTTCCCTGTGTGTTACCTCTAGATTCATATACCTCAAATTCTCTTTTCTACCTTCAGTTCTTCAAGACTCGAGACCCACCCCGCCCCCATTATTCCATCTAGCCTTCCCTCTCATTTCATGGTCTCCTCATCTGTCTGATCTGCTCACCACTACTTCCTGTGGTGCTAAGGTAGAAAAGGCAGGCAAGCCTGTAAGGGTAGGCAGTGTAGTGCTGAGAAGGAGAAACACCTTAAGAGTCAGTGGTATTTAGTTGAGAGTGTGCAAATTGGATCTTCTAAGCATTGGGTGCTAGATCGCCTTATTAAACCTAACTGAGCAGCATCACTAGGAATTCGGCAGCTGCACCAAAACCAGGGAAGAGATGGTCTTCTTCCACCTGTGCAAATCTAAAGTCATGTAGTTTGCATGAATTCTACCTTACCCTCTGAGATGGATAAGTATCCTACTTCTGCTGTACTTGACTTCTGTGCATGCATGCTAAACAGCAGCACCCTACAGATGACCACATTTCAGTGGTGGGTGGAGTGAATCCTGTGTATGAGCTGCATCGCAATCTGTAGGATCAAAGATGCTGTGCAAATAGAAGCCATTATTATTAGTTATGCAAGAGCGAACTGGTTATGTTGTAGTCACCAGAACTCTGAGAGGACTGATGTATGACCATTTCATATTACCCAAATCCCATGAGGGATGGGCATGTTTTTGTTTGTACATTGAAGAGTCGCACCTTAAAGGGTGGGGCAGGGGGACGAGTATGTGAGCCTTCTCAAAAGGTGCAGACGGAAGTGCAGTTCCCTGCTGTAACTGAGAATGCTTTGCAGGAAGCATTCTGTGTTACAACGATCCACCGGAACAAACAGAAGTTCACTGTTGGTTCCAGGGGGGAGAGGAATCTAGCTGTTGGCTGTGAGCTGGTTTCCCCTAGTAGTGGCCCATGCTCTCTGCCAGCCTGTCGCTGTTTCAAACCGGGAGGGAGAAGAGGGAGCTCATCTTAGGTGTTCCCCAGGTGGCACCGGGGGGTGGGATGAGTGTATTGGAGCCTTCCCTGCCCCAGTCTTGCATGGACTGAAAAAACCTGAGACTGAACTCCCTCCACTTTCTTTCCGCACTCCCATTCTGAAAACAGCAACAGGATGGAGGCAGTGTAGATGCAAGTTATAGAAGATGCTATGTTTTAAAATGTCTTCATCTGACCCCTCATGCAATGAGAGAGTTCAGATTTTCACCTCACTGGCCATTTTTGAAGCAGTGTGCAGCCATGCACTTGTGTTTGATCACAGCTATGTATTGCTTTCCATGGCCAGATCCTGGCTACAGCCAAAGAGGTACTGTACTGGGGAATCCTCACAGAGTTGTACTCTGTGTTTGTTATGCAAGTACTGTTGATCTCCAGTAAGGGGACTGGGCTTTGTTTTGCATGGGGCATTGCACCAGAAATGCCTGGGACAACTGACATGCTAAGACTTGGGTGCAGACCATATTTTTAAATATTTGTCCAGCATCTAGCACAATGTCCTGATTTGAGAACCTGGCAGTTCATGTAACATGAAGGTGAACTATTAGGGCTGTGCAAAGCTTTGGTCCCTGACTTGATTTGATGGAGATTTGTCCCGATTCGGTGGCCAAATCTCTGAATCCAAATCCAATCAAAGGACCCCTTGATCTCTCTGGATTGAAATGGAATCCTCTGAATTGATTTAGAAAGATTCAGCGATTCAGACATAGACATGGCTTTAAATGCTTTTTCTCCATACCTCCAGGTAGCAGGGGCTCATGAGTACTGTGATGCTGGGGTGCATGGAGTATTCCACAGAAGCATGGGGGGTCCCCAGCGTGTTCGGTAGCAGACCCAGAAGTGGACCAGAAGCACTTCAGGTAGACTTTGGGGTCCACTGGGGAGCGCACAGCCCCTCCCCCCCAGGCTCAGTGACTGGTGCTTCTTGGGTCTGTGGGGGCACCTAGACTCCCCTTGTGGCCAATCACCGAGCCAGGGAGGCGTGGCCCCCCCCGTGCGCTCCCCAGTGAACCTGGAAGTGGACCGGAAGTACTTATTCATTTCCGGGTTTGCTACAGAGCACGTGGAAGGACCCTCACACTCCTGTGGGATGCTCCATGCGCCCCAGCATCTCAGCGATCACAAGCCCCGCATGCTACCTCAAGGTTTGTAGAAAAAACTTTTAAAGCTGTGTCTATGTCCGAATCGGCATCGAAGATTCAGATTTGGCCGAATCGAATCACTGTCCCCAATTCGGGTCAAATCTGAATCCAAATCGAATAGGGCCCTCTTTGCACACCCCTATGAACTATTATGAACAGTACTTTCTTACACTGCTGTTGGTTATTCAGCTGTGCTGTCGGGTTCTCTGTCCTGTGAGTGGAACATTATGTATTTTGGTGAATTTGTGCTCACTGCAAGGACTAGCTGAGAGAGTCCTGATATTTGCTCTATCATGTTGCTCATTTTATTATCCTTCCCCAGCTTTGCCTCCCTGCTGATGTGATCACAGGTAAACTTCATGTTTGAACTAGAGGAAACAAGGTAAATTTGGGGGGGGGGGTTTGCTGCTGCATTGCCTAAATTAAGGAAATGTCTGTCAGCTTGGTTTGTTGTTTGCCTTTAGTGAAACATGCCATTGTTGGTTAGTCTAGTCTTCAGGTTTTATTTAAAAAAGAAAAGGAAAAAACTTGACCTGATGCATCCTTATTCTATATAAATTGGAGACTCAGAAAAATAAAAAATGGATCTGTGTAAGAGCAAAAACATTTTTTACTGGGTTCTTTTTCTTCTCTTCCTGAGATCGGAAACAAACAGTGCAGATCACGCCATGGCACTGCCTGCCAGAGACAACCTGCCCACTCCCTTTTATTTTGGTCCTGCTTTCTGATCCTGGGGCACACGCATGAATGGGAGTGCTCACTCATATTCTCTCCTTGAGCTGGAAGAGAGCAAAAGAGGAAGCAGACACTTAAAGGAGTTCCAGTGGGCCCCCTGCCCCTCCCAAAGAGAGAGAAAGTCTTGACAGGTTCATAGATTTCATAGACATTTGGGCTGGAAGGGACCTCGGAAGATCATCGAGTCCAACCCCCAGCCCAAAGGGCAGGAAGTCAGCTGGGGTCATAGGATCCCAGCAAGATAAGCATCCAATTTGCTCTTGAAGGTGTAAATTTGCTCTTGAAGATGTAAAAGGAGGAGGTCAGCAGGATTTCCGACCTTCTTGAGGAATTTCCTGGGTGGTGGTTGGGGTGGGAGAGAGGGGGTTGATTTGAAGCAACAAAGGCCAAGACCTAAATGAGTGCTACTTGGCCTCCTTCATAACTAACTCCTGTTTGAATTTCCTGCTGCAACTCCTCTGACACCTTCAGTCACTCCTTTTTGAAGTTGTATCGATCCAGCCAAGGTGAGGTGAGTTTCCTTTCTTCAAGGCTTCTCTTCTTCATTAACTAAACTTAGTCTGCTCCTGTGGTTTGAGTTGCTGACTAGCATTTACCACTACTCTGCAATGTGATGCTGCTCATACCATCCTCAGCCACAATAGCAGGCTTTCTGTCTGTTGTTCATAGATTCATAGATTAAGGGTCGGAAGGGACCTAGTAGATCTTCTAGCCCGACCCCCCGCCAGGGTGGGAGAACAACAAAAAACCCCAAAAAGAGAAACGGGACTCAAACGAGTCCAGCCAGGTAGGCATCCAGCCTCTTCTTAAAG